AGTTACTGATCTGTGCCTCCAACCCACAGCTAAAAAACCCACTGAGGATTCTGCTGTAGTGAAATTATCACTAAATCTCTGTGCAAAGCTTATTGCACAACTGGAAACCAGGACACAGTGCCATGGTCTCCAGCACCTCCAAACCCTGGAACTGGTTCTAGCTTTACTGAATCTTGGTGCATCTGCTTCTAACTTCAGACAAGTTTTATCTCTGGTTTCCATTAAAATCGAGTTTTGTTTGCAGCATGAAGGTGAGCTGCTGCAGTAAGAGATGAGAAAGCTGCAACTAAAAGTGGACATCTGAAGATTTCTCATATCATTGCATGTTTTCCTCAACAGACACATTGTACACATTTATCTTAAACGTACTTTTTCATTTTAAACCAGATTGTTTAGGAGAAAACGAAACTTCTAATGGTCTTACAACCCAGAAAATATAATAGAGTTAAAAACTGTATGTCTGTGAATTCAAGTACATCTACTTGGACTGAAAGAAGGAAAATGAGGATATAGGGCCATGAAGATGATGGGATGGAGCTGCTCTCCTGTGAGGCAAAGCTGAGACAATTGGGATTGTTCAGAGGAGAAGCTCCAAGGAGAGCTCAGAGGCCCTGCCAGGACCTGAAGGGGCTCCAGGAGAGCTGGAGAGGGACTGGGGACAAGGGATGGAGGGACAGCACACAGGGAATGGCTCCCAGTGCCAGAGAGCAGGGATGGATGGGATATTGGGAATTGGGAATTGTTCCCTGTGAGGGTGGGCAGGCCCTGGCACAGGGTGCCCACCCTGGATCCCTGGCAGTGCCCAAGGCCAGGCTGGGATTGTGTAAGGTGTCAATGTTTAATGTCCCTTCCAACCCAAGCCATTCTGGCATTCTGTATTCTTTTGGCATGAAGTTTATTTAAATGAAACTCCCAAATAGCACTTCTCTATATCTGCACAGTTGAAACCCAGAATATGTAGTTGTGTATTCTTTAAGGGAAGGATTAACAGCCTTTACTGGGGCCATACATGCTGTGGTTAATTCTGCAAGAAATTCAGAGAGTCTGGAATCTCTCTTCAGTACTTGTGCTCCCCAAAGTGTCAGTGCTTCAGTGCATGAGTGATGGAAGAGCAGGAATGTCACAGTTGGTGTGGCACCCAGATCTGGGTCTGTTTGCAGCCAGGGGTTGCACTTGGTGATCCTTGTGGCTTCCTTCTAATTCAGGATATTCTGAATTTGGATTCCGCTTGATGGATGGGAGCATATGGCAAATGATTCCCTATACCCAAGACATCCCACAGCCTCAGATAAACCAGAATGAAATGAAACAGGTGATTTTTTCTCAGGGATACACAATGGAACAGGTGATTTTTTTCAGGGATGCACAATGGAACAGGTGATTTTTTTCAGGGATACACAATGGAACAGGTGATTTCTTCAGGGATAAAAATGAAACAGGTGATTTTTTTTTCAGGGATGCACAGTGGAACAGGTGATTTTTCAGGGATACACAATGGAACAGGTGATTTTTTCAGGGATACAAATGGAACAGGCGATTTTTTCGGGGATACACAATGGAACAGGTGATTTTTTCGGGGATACACAGAGGTCTGAGTCTGGGGGTTGTTGTGCCCCTCTGCAGGGTGGGATGTTCCAAGCACGGAGGGTGCACGTTGTGTTCCAGTGGCAAGTGGCTGCATCCACGTGCTCTTAATAAAAACAAGGTTTATTGTTTCCACACCTCTTCTGTCATCTTTTCGCAGTCACAGAGGCAATAATTAGCTAGGGACATTACAGATGCATTAATTAACCAGGCTGGAGAGCACAGGGCAGCCTGCAAAGCAGGCACTTAATGGAATTTGAAGCAGAGACAATGGTGTTGTTTACTGGGTGATGTGGGAGTTGCCAAGCAGTGTGTCCCCACGCAATTAAACACCACTGCACATGTGCTAAAAAGGAATATTTGAATGGGATTATGGAGCAATTACAAGTTGTCTTATTGTGCTGGCTCAGTGTCCCCCTGGGGTTACAGAAAGCAGCTCCTGCAGGAAGCTGGCAGCAGCAGTGTTTGCTTGCTGAAAGCTTTCCATTGTTCCTGCCCTAATTGAATACTTAGAGCTGGACTGGGATGGTGTCCCAGGAGCTCAGGTTCACTCAGGTGCTCCCCCAGGGAAGGAGCTATTTCAGGCCTGGATTATAAGGCAGGAGTTCCCTCAGAGGGCCCCAGGCCCCCACATTTCACAGGGAGGCCCCATCTTTGCCCTGGAGACTCCTTGATGGTACCTTGATGCAGCACTTGGAAAAGCAGGGTAAGAAGCAGCTGGTGCATCCACAGGACTGATCCTGGAGCCTGCAGGGTCTCCTCTCCTGCTCTGAAGGAGGCACTTGGAGGCCTTTGGGATTTCTGGTGTGCCAAAGCAGCGATGTGCAGAGGGAAAAGGACTGGTTTATTTTAGCCAGCTGCTGGTTTCCAGCTTCCTGGCATGGGGCAGCCCCAGGAAATGGGATCAGCCCTGCAGCCCTGACCCCCCAGAAAACAGGAGTGAAAGCCCTTGCCTGGGTAGGTCAGGGTGGGATCAGTGCCTGTAACAGCTCCCCTGGCAAAAGCTGTACCAGGACTGGGGAATCAGCACTGCTGGGGCTTCCAGGGAGTGAGGAGCTGGCCAGGGCAGGGGCTGATCCCCTCACCCCAGGGCTGCTGATGCTGCACATGGCAGAGCCACCAAAGGCAGGAGTGGCCTCACCTGCTCCTTAGCTCTGCAGCAAAAGCTGAGTTTCCTGAAAAGCCACTGAACTTCCACAGAGCTTCTCCACGAGGCAGCAGCACTTGGGGTGGTTTTCATTCCCTGGCTGTGTTTCTCAAGGCAGCCTCTGCACTTCCCAGTTCCTTCCAGCCCAGGAAGCAGCACGCTGGAACACTGTGACTAACGCTGTACTTGTTGTTCCTGCCCAGAAGCAAACACTCCTGCAGATCTTGAGGGGAAGGATTGGGTTTGCAGCCTGTGCTACAGAGCTGCAGATGTCTCAGCATTGCGTGTGTCAATGTCTCTTCCCCTTTCAAGGAACAAAATACTCCTGGCCTGGTGGCTTTAAACCATGGAAAGCACTAAGAGGCTTTCAGCTGTGCAGAACTTGCCTGTGTGGGTGTCTTTTAATGGTCTGTAGCAATTATAAGAACAAAATATTCCTCTTTTCACAAAGGTGGATTTTTTTTAAGGAAAGGTGTTTTCTGATTGCTCTGAGATTTCAGTCACTTATGAGCTCACAGAGTGAGGATATGTCATATGCTCTTCCCTGAACCATCTGACACTGAGATTTCTTCTCTCTATGCATTACTTTAGATTTCTGTCCCTGTGCTCTGGGCTGCAAGAATTAGACTTGCAAGTATTGGCCAGAAACTGGATCAAGGCATGTTTTGAATCTATTCCAGTCAGGCCAATCCCTCACCCTCTATGAGACAACAGTGGGAGGACTTTGTGAGGTTCACTTTTTACTGGAAATCAATTCCAAAATCAAAACATAATTAGGAAAAAGAGAAGAAAAATGTTTGGAAGAGAAGATAGCCTTGACACTGGCAAGTGATTCCAAGAGGATTTGCTCACAGGTGTGCTTATCCCTGCTCTGCAAAGCTTCTCTTTAAACTTGCTCAAAGTAAATAAGCTCTGATCCATGGGGCTGAGGAGCAGCGTGACAAGTACTAGTTCCTGTGAGCCTGTTCATTCAGACCACAGCTCAGCAGCACAAGGGCTTGATCCATCCTGGGGATTCAAAAGCCAGCTGGGAAGGGAACCCCTCACCTTTGGGCTGAGCATCCAGGTGTGTGCAGGGAACTGTGGCACTGCTGCACAGGAATTGTGTCACTAATGCAGGGGAATTCTGGCACTGCTGCACAGGAATTGTGGCACTAATGCACAGGAATTGTGGCACTAATGCAGGGGAATTGTGGCTCTGCTGCACAGGAATTGTGGCACTAATGCAGTGGAATTGTGGCACTGCTGAACAGGAATTGTGGCACTAATGCAGTGGAATTGTGGCACTGTACCATGAACTCTTCCTCATTCCTTAAGAGTTACATCTCTCTTTTCTTATGTCTCTTTCACTGTTTGTTATCTTACTATAGCTAAGCTCAAAGACACTGCTATCTATGCAAGTGCAAGACTTAGAATTAGCCACAGTTTTGTACTTTTCTAGTCTTTAGCTAGCCAAA